TTGGTAGAGATAAGGTTTTGCTATATTGCCTAGGCTGGTCTTGAACTCTTGGCCTCAAGTGATTGATCCTCTCACCTCAGCGTCCCAAAATTCTGGGATTACTGGCATGAACCACCACATCTGGCCTAGCTTATGATTTATACATTGTTTTTATTGGTTTTATTCATGGAGTAGGGAAGCATCTGCCTCTTGTATTTCTGAGGCCCCCACCTTGCTTTTCACGATTGTTTAGTACACTTGATCACACTTCAGAGGCACTGTTTCCCCACTCTACATTTGAGGGTTCAGACAAATCCTTGCTCTACCAGGGGCTGTTTTCCCTGCTGCTTCTGCCTTTAAAATATCCATCTTAGAAATAGCTCTGGACGTCTTAGCTCCTACTTTCTGATCCTTCTCATATTGTGACCCCACTTCCCAAGCTCAGTAGGAGGGTAACTCTTCAGTGTTCAGAGTGGCTTTTTTAACACAACTGTATTTCAAGGATCTGGAGGTGAGGCGGGGCACCATCATGGTGTAGAATCCTTACTTTCGTTTACCAGGTATAGAGAGGCACTCCTGAACTTCATACCTTGTGACCTTCACCCTCATAGGTGAGGTTATTGTTTTTTTTTTTAATGAGCAGAAGATTTTGAGGATATTTTTAGGTCTGATTAAGTTGGGTGAGCCTTTCTCAATTTATTATTATTTTTTTTTTTTTGAGACAGAATTTTACTCTGTCATTCACACTGGAGTGCAGTGGCGAGATCTCGGCTCACTGCAATCTCTCTGCCTCCCGGGTTCAAGCAATTCTCTTGCCTCAGCCTCCTGAGTAGCTGGGACTACAGGTATGTAGTCCCCAATAAAATGCCCAGCTAATTTTTTGCATCTTTTAGCAGAGATGGGGTTTCTCCATGTTGGCCAGGATGGTCTCGGTCTCATGACCTCGTGATCCACCCACCTCAGCTTCCCAAAGTGCTGGGATTACAGGCCTGAGCCACCACACCCGGCCTTAATTTTCATTTCTAAAAATTATTTATTTTTTGACCAGGCACAGTGACTCATGCCACATGTAATCCCAGCACTTTGGGAGGCTAAGGTGGGCAGATCACAAGGTGAGGAGACTGAGACCATCCTGGCTAACACAGTGAAACCCGTCTCTACTAAAAATACAAAAAATTGGCCAGGCGTGGTGGCATATGCCTGTAGTCCAAGCTACTCAGGAGACTGAGGGAGGAGAATTGCTTGAAACTAGGAGGTGGCGGTTGCAGTGAGCCAAAATCACACCACTGCACTTCAGCCTGGATGACAGAGTGAGACTTTGTCTCAAAAAAAAAAAAAAATTATTTATTTTTATATTTTGGAGGCAGGGTCTTGCTCTGTCACACAGGCTGGAGTGCAGTTGCATGATTATAACTCAACTGTAGACTGGAACTCTTGGTCTCAAGCAATCCTTCCACCTCCAGCTTCCCAAATAGCTGGGGCTGCAGATGTGAACCACTGCCCCGGCTAAGTTTTCTTATTTTTATTGTTTTAGAGATGGAGGGTGTCTCACTGTGTTACCCAGTATGGTCTCGAACTCCTGGCCTCAAGTGGGATCCTCCTGCCTCAGCTTCCCAAGTCACTGGGATTATAGGTCTGAGCCACTGTTCTCAGTGGGTGAGTTTTTTAAGAGGATCACTTATTTTCTGTTGTCCAGAAATCAATTTGAGGTATTTGAAATACCGTGGGTATTTATTACTGAGAGGACTGTTAGGATTTGGATCGAGGATTCTAAGTTGGGAATAAGTGATTGAACTGTAACTAAAACATTCCCTCACCAACTCATTTCAAAATCCCAGTGTGTAATATACAACCCCAATTCAATAAGCTAACATATTCATGAAGCTCACAAAAAGCAGAGATGGCCATCTCTTATAATCAGTGGTTGGCTAACCCTTTCTATAGAGGACTGGATAGTAAAGATCTTAGGCATTGAAGGTTATACATTATATGTTGCAGCTGCTCAACTTCTCCCTCTCTGGAAAACAGCCAGAACAAAGTGTAAATGAATCAATATGGCTGTACTCCAATAAAAACTCATTTATGGACACTAAAATTTAAATTATATATAATTTCTCTTGTTTTTTCAACCTTTAAAATTATAAAAGTGGGGACCACAGTTCACCACACCCTGCTATAGATTTTCAAGTGGAAAGGACATAACTACCATTATTAAATAGCCAACATAAAAACAAGTATGGCTGGTATCATTTTAAGGAAGAAATTAGAGAATTTTAAGTGACTAAATTGGAAATACAAAGACAGCTAGACAGCACCTGATGTATAAACTATCTCTACCTGGGAACATACCAGCCTCTCAGATCCTTGTGAAGATGAGCCTGGAGTTCTTGTCTGTCTCTCCTCCCCAGGTACACCCCCACCATGGAGTCCCTTCTTCTACTATCTGGAATACCAGTGGCAGGATCTAGCAGCTTATCTTTTCTTTCCCCATCCCCTCCTTCTTCTCCTTCCCTTTCCCTCCCCCTTTCCTCTCTCTTTTCTTTCTTTCGGGGTTATGCTCTGTCACCCAGGCTGGAGTGCAGTAACACAATCATAGCTCACTGTGGCCTTGAACTCCTGGACTCAAGCAATGCTCCTGCCTCAGCCTCCCAGTGGCTGGAACTACAAGTGCATGCCACTGCACCTGGCTAATTTTAAAATTTTTTTCGGAGAGAGATAGGATGTCACTTTGTTGCCCAGGCTGATCTCAAACTCCTGGCCTGAAGTGATCCTCCCACCTCAGCCTCCCAAAATGCTGAGATTACTGGCATGAGCAACCATGCCCAGCTAGTTATCTAATCCCATGTGCTACTTCCTCCAAGAGAAAAACACACATCCTCCTGAGCAATGCTCATCTCCAGTGAAGGAGACATTTTATTCTTTTCTTTTTAGGCCTTACACTCTCTAGATGGTTCCATAGCAACACAGGAAATAGCTAAGAGATGGTTCTCAGTGAACAAATCCAACTAGCTCAGCTAAGTGCACCAAAGATGGATGTATTTTTGAAAAGATGAATTATATCAAGCTCAACTCATTAGAACCCATGCTTATAATATAAATTTCAAAAACAGATGACATGTAACACTTAAAAGCATGTTAATGATACCATTGATATACTATATAGTAGATCTCCAATCTTTTTAAGTTAGGGGCTTTGGTGGCTTTTTTTTTTTTGTTTAATTTCTGTCAGACTTTGGTGAGTGGACATATGCAAATACAGTTTTGTCTCCATGGGACAACCACAATGAATCAGAAGTTGAGGTTTGGTGTCAATCCAGGCAGTAGACTTTTTCTTAAAAGGCGCCCTTTCAGAAAAACCTAGAGCAACCTGGGGCCACAATTAGTGCATCAGTATTTCTAGATTTAACAAGCCTGAACTATTCACTCTCTTCTGAAAGGGCTACTTGATCCTGGAAGGATCCACATAGACAGCATTGATTTAACAGTTGAATGAAAAATGCTGGGTCCAGTTCGGTCTAGTTTTCTCATGTAGGCATTACCTGTACACCTCATTTATAGGGTCCTGTAGTTTTCCGTGTATGTTCTTGTGTGTGTGTGTGTGTGTGTGTGTGTGTGTGTGTGTGTGTGTGTGTTGCAGATTTCTTAATACATTCAAGTACTTGCTTGGCAGCTATTCTAGGCTCCAGTGAAACTGAAACAGTAGAGGCAGAATAGTCCAAGATCTCCAAGTATTCAGAAACTGGTAGAGGAGAAGGGCATCTAAAGAAGATCTTTATGGTATGTTGTGATAGGTGATGTAATAGAAATAGGAAGCAAATGATTTTGGAGTACCTAAGAAAGTAACACTAACTCTGAGGATGTGACAACACTTAGATGGGATAAGAATTATCCTTTCCACTGTAAAATAGTGAAAAGCACTGGATTGAGAGCCATGCACCTTTTTACTGGCTTTGAGTAATGTTACTACCTTGAGCCTCAGTTTCCTCATCTGTAAAGTGGTGTCAGCAATACTCACTTTGTAGCTTCCTGCGCGGGGAACAGCAGAGAGCATTCTTCCATATCTTAGGCTCTTTTCACCGGAGGCCATGTGTGACCAAGAAGCACAATGTGGATTGTTGGGTGTAAGGGGCAGAAGAGAGATCAGTTTTTGTGGGGTTGTGTGGGGACAAGCCTCCCATTCTGAATGGGAGCCAGGAAAACAGCACACCTGGGTCAACTATTGTCCTACTCCCCCTGGGAGCTCATTTAGACAATGGATAGTGTATCTTTTCCCAGCACAGCCTTTGCATATTTTACTGTCCTTACAAGTTGACTAAGGGACCTGGTCAAATTACATACTTCTTCAGACAGCTTTTCTCTGTGAATTTTAGCTTTAGGACCAACGTGATGATTTCTCAGGCCTTACCCCAATTCTTAAGTCCTGTAAACTTTACGCTATTAAAGTATCTAGGATTTTCCCCCAAAGTACCAACAAAAAGTAGATATCTATGAATAATATGTACTTAATACCTGATATCTGGGGGTGATAGAGTATGTTATCTTTCAATAAAATTTTGTGTATATTGTTGGACATTGTGTTTTAAAATTGTCTTAAGCCACCTAAGGGATGCACAGTCAGTGGGGGTAGTGAGGGGAAGGTCGATTGCCCTTAAGAATTCTTTGTGACTTTCAGCCTTCAAATCAAATCAAACTGGGTAAAGCTTTCATAATTTCCTTTTAGTCTACTGGTGATGATACATACAGTGGCCATCAATTCATGCCTTTTGATATTTTGATGACACAGTCTTATGGAGGACACCAGTGTTAACTAGCTTGCCAGATGTCACAGCAGGCAAAACAAGATTGAAACCCTCACCTGTCTGACCCAGCCCCGCTGGTGGGATGGTAAAATTTCCCGACAAAGATTTACCAACTGGAAAATTCATTGAGAACACCAGTTTCCCGACGTAGAGCACTGGCCTGGTTGTTATGGCAAGGTGATGGATGGAGCGCCAAACTTTGTGTTCCTTTGTTTCTTCCAGGAGAGAAACCCTACAAGTGTACCTGGGAGGGCTGCACCTGGAAGTTCGCCCGTTCGGATGAACTGACGAGGCATTACCGCAAACACACGGGAGTGAAGCCATTCAAGTGCGCGGACTGTGATCGCAGCTTTTCCCGGTCGGATCATCTGGCCCTGCACCGCCGGAGGCATATGCTGGTGTGAGGAATGCTACCTGTCCAGCTGAGCGTAAGAGCTGGATCTCTTAGCGGCACCCAATTCAGCAGGGCTGAATCCCCTTCACAGTGTTAACACAAAAGGGCATCACCATCCCACGATGTCTGAAACCAGAGCAGGAGAAAGAAGGCAGGCTTCTTTTGGTCTGAAGGTAACCCCCATCATGACTTCACGAGAACCGTCTTTACGCGGGCCTGGGAACTCAGTGACACAAATGCTGAAGAGACAGACATTGTTTTCCATGCTGTGTCCTCTGCCATTTAAAGATGTTTGTAGCTTGTACATTTTCTGAGCTGTCAGACATTTTGTTATTGATACCTTAAAGGTCACCTACCACAAATTGATGGCTAGAGCAAGACCTTTTAAATTTGGATGAATCTCCCATCATCCCACCTCTTAACCCCTTTTTACAGAAATTTTAGTTACAATCTGAGTAAGCTAGAACACACATCCAATCTGTTACCAGCAAGCAGCATGAAAGTAGAAACGAAGAAGCAGATGGAGAGGTCCCATTACCTGCAAAGAAAGGGCACTCAGGCAGCCCTTTGCAATCGCGATGGCGGCCACTAGATATCACTCGCAACTTGTCATTCTGCCATGCCCTGAAGAAAACCAACATTGAATCTTTCATTTGTTTGTCGTTGATTGTTTTTGTTTTGTTTTGATTCTGTTTTGTTCATCTGTTCGAGCAGAGGGGCAGTTGAAGTCTCGTCCTGGTCTCTGCCCTGGCATGGACTGGCACAGAGGTGTTCTGTAGTTGAATAGGAAGAGCCTGTCTAAAAAAAAAAACTACTGCCCCACTTCAAATTGCAGTGTTCTGTCACCTAGGCATCATCTCTTCCTGCCCCTAGTATTTGATTACAAGGAACCAGGGGAAAAAAACTTTCTTAGACACACTGGCACCAAGGTAAGAGGTGGGGCTGCCCAGGCAAAGTCAGTGAACATGAAAAATCAGACAAAGCAGAGATGGAAATAATGCGCCTCTTGAGGAGAAAAGCAATAATGAATAAAAGGACTTTCCTACAATAACTTCACTGAGGACTCACGTTACCAATTTTCATACTTACTAAAGGGATTGTAAAAAACACCCCAGCATTTTAGATGTCTTGGTTCCATTTACAGCACTGAGGTAATCTTTCTGCTGTTTGTTGTCCTGCTTGGTTGAGTTAAATTAAAGATTACACTCCCCTTTTCTTGTTTGAAAACAGTTATTTGGTGACTAGAAAGGCAAGGGAGGCATAGCTGGGAATTAACTTTGGTTAATGGGTCAGTTCTCCTTGGAACTGAATCAGTGGAAAGAGAATGCTTCCCATAGAAAGCCTGACATGGTGCTAGTTTCCTCTCTTGGAGAGTCAAGGATAAGTGACTCTCCAATAGGTTCTTCTATACAGATTTCATTTTCTAAACTGTATCAGGACCCAGTGGTCCTGCACTGGCATCTGCAGGGATATTGAACCCACTCATCCCATGCGGAGGATGAGAGGAAGGTGTTAGTTCCATCAACCCCCTAAAATTATGAACCTTTTTGCAACTAGCAGAGTATACAGTAAACAAGCAATACATCACCAACAAGCATTCTTTCAGAAAAATTACCATATTTTTGTGCCCACTACAAGCTGGGTTTTTCTCCAGCTTTCTGTGGCTGAGGGGCTTGGTGAGAGATTTTTTTGTTGTTGTTATTGTTGTTGTTGTTAGAATTTTTTATAGCTTAGATATAAAAGGTCTCCAACAAGACCTTTGCAATATATTTTAATTACAAACACTTGATTTTGGGAATTGCACATGTTAACCTCACAATATTACTAGCTCATTTTTAAATGTCTGGACATTCTGAAATAATTTCCGGTTGCAGAATTATCCTTTTTAGGATCATCTTCTAATTCAGATAATCTTGTTCTGATGAAGCGAGAACTATGAACACTGAAACAAGGACAATTTGTGTTGGATGGTATTCAAAGGAATTTTTTAAAACGTTAAGCAACAGTATAATGATTTTCAGGTCAAATTATGGCTTCAAAAATATGTGCTCTATATTGTCTGCCAGATCTCAAAAATTTATCAGGCAGTTTCCCTCCAACAAGGGCTGCAGTTCTAGTGATAAATAGCATCTTCAGCTACACAGTCTACTACTCACCAGCCAGTGGGGTTTTCACCACCTGGAAAGTTTTTTTTTTATCTGTACTGTATGCAACTCCTACTTCACATTACCTGTGACCATTCAGAATAAAAAAAAGGTCTCTTGATGCATGCCAGCGTTGGCTACTAGTCAGTGGCAGAGAACACAGACAGGGACACACACAGCCACGAACCCCCTGGTGCTAGACCAGCACCTCGTTGGCAAGTAGTCGGCGCACCCCTCAAGTGAAGTGTAGATTTGTATTTAGACCTGCTTGCTCTCATAAAAAGAGCCAGTTCTTTTCTCTGCTGAAAGATGTTTTGAGAGTATTACAGGTAGACTTGGTTTTTAGAATTCATAAAACTGACAGGCAGGGGAAGCTTCCTGAGTGACAGCCTGGTTTAAATTTAGCACAGAACTAAATGAGTTGCACTTTTCTAATAACATAGGATGGATTTGGGGAAGGGAGCATTTTTCCTCATCCTCTGAAAGTGGAAACCAGACTGAGATGGTAAGTTAACTGATAAAAGCTGTCAGCATTCCATCATTTTCCCCTTTTGACGTATCAGTACTTCTAAGAAGGGATCTAAGCACAAGTAAGTGAATGAGTCCATGGTCTCGCCTCAGGAACTGAAACTTCCTTGGGGCTTGTCTTGGGACTTGGCAAATTCTCCTTGGTGAGTTTTCTAAAAGTATTTCCCCATGGAAAGGAAAAAGTGGTTTGGGACAGAAAGAAATGGAACGTCTTTAGTCATGAAAAAGCCTCCATTTCACCTCATGTCCATTTCTAGCCTCTTTCAAAAAGCACAGTGCATCATGAGCGACAGAAAAGCAGTAGAATCCTAAAGAACTTATCAGTTGTTCCCTAACTAGAGGCATTCTTCGATTTTAAATTTTAAGCTGTTCAATTTGCAGTTGGGGATATGTGCGTGGTTGAGAATGTGTACACATAGAGCCGTTAACAGCTTAAGCAGCTGCAGTAGACCTGATTTTCTGTTTGCAGTGTAGAGATGGATTTCAAGGGATTTACATTATTTGAAAAGTTATGACGGTCAGCCTTTAAGGTTTTAACAATCTCTTTTCATGCTCTGATCTTAAGTTGTTTGGAAAAAGATCACGCTTCTGCATCCACCTCTGCCCTCATCCTGTCAATTGTGTGTGGACTCTGAGAAGCCTGCTTGATAACTTGCCTTAAGTTCTATTAAGGCAGTTAGACTGAGATTTCTAGTGACTTTCCCATAAAGATTATACTTCTGCCTGGCATCATTTCTACAAAACACTATAGGACATTGGTTTTCAAAAGCAGTTGGATAACAGCAACATACACAACATTAAAAAAAATGAGCACTTTTCATTCACATGAAAGCTTAAATGGGAAATAGGAAGATGATTGTCAGGGGAAAAACTTACAAAATGCTACAGTGTTTACAAATGCCAGTTCCAGGTGATTAGAAAGGCCATTTTCATTATGGTTGGAATTTGGAATCGCTTATGTAAAGCGATTGTGTTCATTTTTATACAATTCTTTTTGACTTTAAATTGCCATTTGTGTTTTAAACATAATTCTGCACTTTGAAATCAGTTCATTAGAATGATAACATTTATATGGATAAAGATGCAGTATTCCTTATTCTGTACTTTATTTATTATACTTACCAAAGCTGCAACTGAATAAATCTGGTGAGGTGAGGCCTTCAAATGTATTAATACGCCTTTGTTATGTTGTTATGACTGCTTAGAAATGTAGCCATGATATTGTTCTAAAGGTGTCTTAACATTTATAGTGAGGATTGACACAAATGAAGCAGTGTTAAGAATACCAGCATCCATGTTACAGTCTGCGTATAAGGGACTGAATGTGAGATAACTCTTCTGAATCAGAATAGGCCCAGAAAGCCTTAATATTCATAGTTCATAAGCCAGTCTCAGATTTCGCTCTTCAGTGATGCCTGTCGACTTAGCAGGTAAATGTATTCTAGAATAAGATATCATTGACCAAATCTCTTCCTTTAGTTTTTCTGAGGTAGTGCATCCCATAAAAAAAGTCTCTTCAATTTGATTTGGCTTTAGTTTAGAAAAGGGGTTTGGTAAGTCATGTCTTCCATATGACATTTCTACTCATTCCTGCACTGCCTTCCACTGAACCTGTACAGACAGCCCCCACACATGCACATGTGTATACAGAACTGTATATGCAACAGCCAGTGGGCTAACAAATATCAACAAAGAACTTTTTTAAGAATTTGTAATAATCGATGCTGTCTAGAAATGTGAGTTACTTACCTTATTAGGAAATCGGCTTATAATACTATATATGACTCTGCCTGCATTTTATAGTTAAGAAATGTACATAAAAATTGCTATATTTTCACAGTTTCATTATAGAGTAATGTCTGTGTAGTAATCCATGTCCACTGGTACTTTAAATATGCTAATTACTGAGCAATTGCAATAGAAATCCAGATTTTCTTAAGAAAATGAAATAGAAGGATACTGCATCTTTAAAAATAGAGTGAAGATATTTTACTGTATTCGTAACATATGTGATAGTGGAAAAAGTATTTTCAAACTCACAAATTTTACAGAGGTTGTAAATAGTTTGATGAAGTATGTTGGGAAAAAGAGCTTCTAGTTTTCATCACAATAAAAAGTAAAACTTGTTCAGATATGCCTTGTATATCTTACACACAATGAGCGATATTGCCATGGGAACTCTGTCCAACTTTGTCAGAGCACGTTCTTCGTGTTCTGTTCCAAATAGAGTGGCCACTTGTCACGGTTTAGCCAGGATGGTTTAAAATATGATGAAGTCATTCTAAGTTGCAGACAACTGATTCCAAACTAGTAATGTCTTTTTCTGAAAAGGGCCAAACAGCTGCACAGCATTTTGCTTGTACGAAAGAGGAGCATCTTACGATTGTTCACTTTTCTCAGTTATCTCCCTCCTCAACAGAGTGGTTCTTGATGAGACAACTATACAGGTGTTTATTCTTGTGTAATTCCAGAGAGACTACTTTTAGGTGTAACTACATGTTGACAAGATTAAGTGCCATGGATATGGCCACAAGTTAAATGAATTTATACTGGCAATAGGAATAAGCTAATGCCCATTTTCAGAAATGAATTAAATGCTGAAAGTGCCTGTCAGTAAACATTATGACCAATGAAAGCTTCCTATACTTTTACACAGCAATAACTCTTAATTAGACGTTAGGGCTTTTTTCTGCACATGGGAACAGACACACACACACACACACACACACACATGGAGTAAATGCATGGACATAGTAAATCAAATCTGTTCACATGCCCCCAAACAAGCTTTTATATCTTTCAAATATACCTAATCATGTTTACATTAACATTTCTTAATTTGATCTTTCTAATTTCCAGATAAAGAGTTGACTGTCATTTTCCCCAAACTTATGAAACAGTATGTATGATTTTAAAAGTTTTGCTCAGTTAAAAACACCAATTTATTTGGAGCAAAAGACCGAAGGGTATTTGTTTGCTTGTTTCATTTTATCGACTCATATCAAACGCACAAATTCATCTTTACATTTCTTCATTCCCTTTTCCCCTAATATCACCTATTGTCATCTAAGAATCATTTGGGAATGAATATTGACAGAATCATTTTTCCCCAAAAAGTCTATTGAAGTACTACTGACACTTAGTAAGCCTAGCCTTTAGCCCATTTTGCATTTAGTCCTAAAAATTACCAGATTTACATTTAGAAGCTCACAGGTTTTCTTCCTGTAATTATTGTACTGCTGAAAGTGGAGTCATGAATAGAAATATGCAATGAGACTATGTGAATAGACATAAACCCTGGGAATTCTCCAACCCTGCCATCTCAGAGCACAAAGTCACCCAAACAAGCTGAGGCTATCAGCAAAATTATACTCATGGAGAGTCACACATTGGGTAAGGGCAATTTTAAGAGTAGGACTGTGATTAAACATTCAGACTTTAGACTTCCACGATGGACTCAGAACACAGGCCTCGAAAACAGCCACTGTTTTCTCCTCCCAATGTTAGAAAGAAGGAAAGGGAGAAGATCAGTGTACCAGGATGAGGGGGTAAAATAACCAATTAAGTGTCAAAGGAAAGCTGCTGGGTTCCTTAATCTCACTGAAGTCAAGTCTTCTGACTGGGCTTCTTTCCATGTGTTATCTGAAAGTACTAAAGTACCTTGAAAGGTGACACATTCAGCAGACCATGAAAATAATAGCTGTTCTTTATTAAACACTATGTGTCAAGCACTAGACTAGCCAATTTTTAGATACGTTACTTCCAATCTGTACAACATTTCTACATTTTATGGATGGGAAACGGAGGCATGGGAAGTGTGGCTGAGTGGTTCATAAATGTAGAAATAGTAAATGGCAGAGTGGGAATGTGAAACTGCCTATCTCTGACCTAGAGGCCTGCCCATAATTTTTCAACTCCACCACACTGCACGTGGGTTTCCCAATACCACCTTCCCAGATTCCTGACTCTCAGTAATTTTATTATGGACAACATGCATGAGTAGTCATCATATATTTCAAGTGAAATATCGGGCCATGATATAACACAAGACTTAATAGTGGTACTGAATATTTGAAATCAGGCCTCTCCTGGAAAATCATGCATGAAGGATTGTTATAAACAAACAATAGCAACCAGTTGTCTCCCAGAGCTTCTCGTTTTTCTCATAAATGTCTGGCGTGGAGCTCCAAAATCATTCAAACACTTAGTGGCATTTTAGCCTGAGTACACTTTCTCAGTTCTTCCACTCTTTGTATGCCTTTCCACCAATATAGACATTCTAGAATCTGCCTCAGATGCATTTGAAATGTTTCCCCCCACAGAACCAGTTATTAACGTCAGAGCCCACTCCTGCCATTGTTAATGGGGTGGCGATGAAACATTCAGGTAAAGATCAAGGAGAGATCATGGATAATTCTTTTCCCGATTCCTCACTTAACAGCTCTGCGTTGGAATGTTTTAAATAGTCTTATAAATAATTTGTTTATAGTATTGTTGTTAGTTTAATTGAATTTTATGTAAGAAGCTGTCCAACATCAGAGAAATGAAATCCCTCCCGCTTTTCTGTGTAGAACAAGGTCTCTGACAGTATTGATTCATGGAAGTACTAATGGACTTAGAAAACATTAAGAGAATGTCATTTCTCATAGCGTTTCTGTTTCTGAAAATGAATCTCCTGAATTATGATCTTTCTCCCTGTTACTTGGCTGGGGAAAGAGATAGAAGCTGTATAAACAAATTCTCTTCCATGCTCAAAGCAAGTGTTCCATGTGCACAACCTGCTGCAGACTGGGGCTCTTCTCAGTTAGTTGGGTTTCACAAGCAATAATTTCTCCACAACTTGAAGTGAGTTGAAAAGAGATGAATAGTGGAAACAGTCACCTCAGTACTTTTTCTTTCTGGATTTCATCTCTAAAAATTTGAAGTGTTTGAGACAAGTGTCCACCCTTTGTGCAAGGCAAGACCCAATGAATGACTCCTTGTGTGAATTATTGCATCTTCTTCCAAAGCAGGTTCACCAAGACTTTCACAGAGATTCATTTTTGTTAAGAAATAATGGTCAATAGGAGGATAGAATTTGGATCCAAATCTAGTAATAAAAGTGTCCAAGCAATCAAAAAGTAAGGTAATTCAGGGACATACCAACATCTTCCCTTTCTGCTAATTTTATGCTCCAAAGATACGGCAAAAAGAAAATCATAGAAAATGCTTTTGCCCTACTTGTGTTCTAGTTTTCCCATGGCAGAATTTTGTAGTTACATCCAGACTGTAGTGTGTATTTTGTTCCTCAAACTTTACCACATTGGATGGATATTGTTGAACTGGGGCACTGGTGCCTATATTCAAGGCTCTTTCCTATCAACGTGTCTGTCCACAATTTGTTGTGTTTAAAACTTCATTTTGAAAACTCACCGTCCCCCCATGGGATAGTGACTGTATTGTTTTGTTCATGTCTGTGTGGGACACATTGCATCACATGGCAAACCAACTCTCTGTGGATGTGAGATAAGTACCTATAAAACCAGCTTGAAAACATTGTCTTATGTATTATGTCATCCTGCATCATAATGCAATTATGTGTATCATAACATGCTCATTTAAAAAAAAGAGAAACCAGCAAATTCATGTTTGTCCATAGAAGAATGTACTCAGAACTTTGTGTTGTGAAACGATGAGAACAGACCACCTTGAAGATACCCACCTGCCACTTAAAATGAGTTAGTTATAATTAGTAGTAGTCTAGACGTTCTTGGTGTGTGGGGGTCAATTCTAACGTCATGTTCTTTTGAATAAATCTCTCAGTCATATTTGAAAAAATACATAAAAATATCATCTTTGGCCAAATCAAGCAGGCATCTTTTTTCTTTTCCTTGACGTTTAATTCATGATACATGGTGATTAGATCACAAGATCTTTCCGTGTAAAAAATATGAAAACATCTTTAGTTTACAAAACAGTTATTCTAGGCTTGAAGCCTCTGAACAGCAAATTGAATAGATGGGCTGTGTCTGATTTGCTTTATGGATGTAATTTTACAAAAGACTCTTGGGTCTCTGACCCCAGAGAGTTAAGAGTGCCCAGAGGAGGTCCTACACATTAAAGATAAAGCCCCCTGTAATACTGGCAAGCAAATGTGTTGAGTTCTTAAATCTTCATTTGGTTTTCTGTTCAGGATTTTAATTGCAAATGAATTTATTTCTCCAGTTTATCTAAAGATCTAATTTCCCAATAGTTTCCTCTGCATTTATATACTCCGTAGTGTTTAGGCAACCCCTGTTATAAGTTTATTAATATTATGTAAGTGTTGTTCTTGTATTTATGTATAGTGTATGTATTGTAAATATACTCAGAGCTTTTTTTCCTTTTACTGTAAAATGGTGATTTTTTTTGCCCTATGATAATGTAAAGGGAGACCCTCCTAATGAGATTCTCTCAGAGGATGATTATTCCAGTCTATTCTCAGAGATTTAAATGAACAAGTGTTATTGTTTTTAATGGTGTCTCAGACATATTCTGTTGGTGCATTGCTTTTCTGTATTCAACTTTCCTATGAATTGAGCTGTGAACTGAAATAGAGTTTAAACCTTTAACTGTATGCATTTGTATAATTATCTGAATGAAGGCATGAAGGTTAAATAAAGCATTTTGTATGGAACAAAACTCCCTAACTGACTCAGACACTTTGGAAATCATAGCTATTAACCATTCTAATTAAACCTTTGTTATGAAAAGTTCTACCATTTGTGTATAGTAATTTAAAACACAGAACAAAATAGAGACTATTCTAAAAAAAAAAAAAAAAAAGCAACATTTTTATTTCCTAACAGGCAGCACAGCACCTAAGGAGGGATTGCTAACTTAATATTTTAATGAATATAAAACTAAAAAGTAGTTCGGAAATGTAAAGTGATATGAAAAATCCATCTTTCAGAGCCCAGCATTGAATCCTTGGGATAATTTCTTCACACTTTACATATCCTTTATGTACAGAATGATTCATCTAGCACGTGCTACAGTTAGCTGATTTCTGTCGATTTTTTAAGAAAACTGGGTTATAAAAGATTTTGAAAATACCTTTAATGAGTAAAATGTCTTTAAATAATTGCTCAGATAACCACTTGAAAACCTGTGTAAGTATCTTACTAGTGTCTTTTAATCGGAGAACTAGAAAAATCCATTCTGCAAAAGGAATGGTATTAAATACTAATAATTATATAGAATGGTGATATGTGATAGATAATAATTTTTTAAATAATATTTGAGTGTTTCCCAGATGCAAGGTAATGTTTTAAGCATTATATTTATTCTCTTTATTCATTACAAAAATCCTGAGTTCTGTTTTTATTAACCTAATTTTACCAATGGAAAGGTGAGGCACTGAGTGTTGGTGACTTTCCCAGTCAGTCTGGTTCCAAGATCGGTGTCCTTAGTCAGTAAAGGGATATGAGTTACAGAGATGGAGAAAGGATGGGAGGTGGGGAGCAGAGTTTGAGGTGGAAGAGAGAATAGCAATGACTATCATAAAACATTCAACAAAAGCTTTGATTATGTATGTATCAATATAAATATACCCATGTTTATATTAAACTACACTCTGGTTGCTGAGTATGAAATGAAGGATAATATTCTAAATAATAATATTTTAAATATTATCCTTCATTTCATACTCAGCAACCAGAGTGTAGTTTAATAACTCATACAAATCAGAGACGAAAATCAATTTTGGTTCACTTTATGACTGACTCGAACCCATTTCCAAATAAACACTGAGTTCTGTGAAATTGTTCTGCTGTATTCAGGGGAACTGGAGAGAGCCATGGGGGCCGCCAGTCCCACTCCATTCCCACTGAAGCCTCCTCTCTTCCCATCAGTTGGGAGGCTCAGGGTACCCTTGTGTTCACGCTCCCCACCCTGGCCCTGCTTTGAGCACTAGGAAAGGGTCTTGCAGAAATCATTTCCTCTCCCAGTGACAGCCTCACCTCCTGCTGAGTTCAACACCAGTCTTAGAGAAGAAATCACTCATTAGAAGATTAAGTCTCTTTCAAAATTGAGGCCATAAGCTATTAAGTACATGTTTACTAATTTTTTGTAAAGATTTTAGTTGTGCCATTTTAGAAATATTCAGTTAGGAAACGGCCAATAAAAAAGTCTATCTTGCTCTACTCTTGTGAAACATACTAAGACTTGCAAGGCTAAAATGAATCGATTCAATTATTTCATTTTGGATATGACTTTGTAACCAAATGGTAAATTGGACCTTAGATTTATATGTCTTTGGCCTGATTTTCTGCCTGTTCTTTGTAGGCCACACAAGCAGCCAAACCAGCTTTCCAGCTTTGTTTTTTATTTGTTTTTCAGCTCACCCCAGGAGGCTCTGTCATACAAATAGACCAATGAGACAAATTTCACGGACTAGATCACATGATGTTATTTTTCTCTCAGGGCAATTTATTTGGCCATATTTCTTCTACCAGGGTGATTCTTGGATACTTCAATGATAGCTGGAATTACACAGGTGATAGATAATTCAGTAACATTCTCAGGTTTCACCTTTACTCTAGCTGTTTTGCCATAGCCATGATTTCGAATCTAATGGCGTCATTGTTTCTTATTCTCCCCAATTTTAAGACTACCAAAAAACCAGATGAAATAGTTAAAAGTACAGGAGCAGCAATGTACTTCATCTTAGAATACCTTGGGGCTTTATCAGAAAAGAAAAAAATATTTCAGTGCTAGGACAAAATCATGCTCCCTAAAAAATTATTTGACTCCCAAATGGCCACAGAGCGTTTCATACTATACAGTGCATTGTCTTCCCCTGAAAGTGCGTGGTTTCCTTCAACACAATGAGCTCCTTGTGCTTTGTTCGTGTGCTGTCTGGATTTAATATATTTCTCTCCCAGCAGTGTAATAACTATAATTTACATCACTTCCTGTTTAGTCTAAATTCACCAATGAACGCCTACACAGCTCATACACTTGAATGATTGTCTATTTCTGAAATAAATTACATTTTCCTTGAACAGGAACAACTTTTACATGATCTTTTTTCCTTTATAGATTCACCACGTTGAGTGTGTTTGTGTGTGTGTGTATACATATACAAAAGAGAGAAACCCAGTTTTATGAGACCATGTTGACATCAGCAATATTTGCTGAAAACATTTACTAAGGAGAGCCCCAGAATTGTTTAAATAGGCCTATAGTCATCAGAATCGCCCCTTTTTCTCTTACTGTAGCTGCAGTTCGCATGCACAGATTGCAATCCATTGTATTGAAGAAGATTGCAAGGCACAGAAGGCCTGTGCCGTGAGCTGCTCTTCTACCCAGTCCCTCAGAGCTTTCGGTCTGTACCAAAGACCCAAGCTTGTCCCAACATCTCAAACGCAGGCTTGCCACTGCCTCTGGCTGCTTTGCCCTCTTAAACTTGGCCATTACCTGGTCATGAGGTAGACGTGGCCGAGGAGGGTTAAACATTATTGATCATCCCTAGGGCCCTGAAAGCTTACGTCAGTGTGGCCAGTGCATTCTGTTGCTGAATTAGGGCCTGTGTACCTTACTTCACCCTTCGTGGCTGATTTAGAGCCCTTTCTTTGTACTGCGTTCAGCATGAATGAATCCAGTCATTTGGGCACTGATATGGACTCTTGCATTATGTGTACCAATATTCTGCATTATACAAGTGAGTATTCAAATTATACTTGATATATCTAAAACATGGAAGAAATGGTTAAGAAATTGCTTGAAGTTTATGTATTCTATTTAACCACTCAAATCTATGTTCTTATGATTACTGATAACAATTTTTATGTGCATAAAATAAGGAAGAGCACAAGTTTGAGTTATTACTCTGTGAAAAGATTATACTAATTGATGTGAGGCATAAGGCTTTGTACCTAAGACATAGTCCCTCATCTAAAGTAAGTTATTATATCCTATTAGGGTAGATCAATATATACGCAATTTCCCTAGTATAAACTATAAATGGATAAGCACCACCAGAACTGTCTAAAGCATAATGGAAGTTTAAGGGTAGAGAGAATAGCTCTGTAACACAGGTCATCAACCAGCCCTTGTGTCCCCCATATGCAACAACATTGTCCGCTTTGATCTGGAGAAACAGCAGAATAAGAATAAGCCGTGAAAAAAGAATGAATGGACGAACAGCATTTGGAAGATGTCAAATCCCTGTCCTCTGTGTTGCAGCAATAGTCCAACAAACATAGATAATAGTCTGTATTTGAACAAATCCACATTCTTGTCTCTTATGCCTCAGCACATGTGGTTCCCTTGCCTTGAACATCCTTTTCTGTGTGTCTACCTGGTGAATTCTAAATTAATCTTTACCTTCCCTCCCTGAATCCATTGTCCATCTAGGCAAGAAGTAGTCAGTATGGTAAGTAGTTGTTGTCTTCTCTGCTACATTGTGAGCTGTTTGAAAGTAGAACTTGTGCCTTACTCATCTTTGAATCCACAGATCCTAGCATGTATTAAGCAATCAAAAAAATTTGATAGTTACATGAATGATCCAAATAATAGATAAGATTTAATAAGGACTCTGTAATCTGAAAGTACAGAGATTACAGAAATCTAAAGGCTAAATTCTGGCCAAGTGTGCTGGCCCATGCCTGTAATCCCAGCACTCTGGGAGGCCAATGCAGGAGAATTGCTTGAACCCAGTAGTTTAAGATCAGTCTGGGCAATATGTTGGGACACCCCCATCTCTTCAAAAACTAAAAAGAAAATTAGCTAGGCTTGGTGGTGCAGGACCGTAGTACCAGCTATTCAAGGGGCTCAGGTGAAAAGATCATTTGAGACCGGGAGTTCAAGGCTGCACTCCAGCCTAGACCACAAAGCAAGACCCTGTCTCAAAATAAAATAAAACAACATTAAGCAAAATTCTGGAATTTGGACTTCATTATTTATGCAATATGAAGTTAGTGATATTTTTATTTCTAAAAATGAATGTTCTAGTAAGTTTTTTAAAAATTAGGTTATATTTATAGAGGCACCCACACAAACATATTGTTTTCTTAAGCCTAATAATTGATAATAATAAATATGTTCACATGTCAAAATTATTATCAGCAGGAGGCTTATCAAATTGTAAACTTTCCCTGGAATTTCCCTGTCTATACGTTTTATGATTAAGTATGAAAGTCCTTTATTTTATCCAAAAGTTTCTGATCTAACTTTCTGCCAGTGACCACACTGATTAACACCATATTACTGTCTTATTATTTCAATCCACAAAGTCTTATGCCAATTAAAGAAAAAATACATTTCATTTATTTGACACTTTTGCATCTTTCAGAAGAAAATCCTTAGGACAAATTTACATTAGGAAAGTGCTGAATTGATACTATACCTCACATATAAGTCACTATTTATAAATGGCTTTCATTTGATTATTTGATTATGGGTTGGATTTTAGAAACATACGATAAAGAATTGTGAAACTTGGAATGGCAGCTGGTGTACAGAATTCACCGCAATCAGAAAATAATTGTTTTCTTCAAGTAAAAAAAAAAAATGTTGCCTATCACTCTTGCTGAGTAGGTAGAACTGTCCTAGTCAGAAATGTTTTTCTCTGAAGTCATAGCATTCACGTGGATTAGTAACTTGTTCCTGTGACAGCACTAGAGGAAGAAGGCCTTATG